AGAGCAGAATAGGGACTGGTCCCCTACATCGGGTCACTTGGCAGATATGGATTGACACCTTGTTACAAACTGCTATTTGTAACGGGCCCTTTAAATGGCAAATTGCCCTGCTTCCCTGCGTTGTGGAGAAGCCTACTTGCCAGCCTCCTCCCGCATGACTATGGCCCCTGGGAGATTGTGAAAATGTATGCACTTTTATTTGGTGTGTATGGCCCTTTAAGACTGTCGGTGGGCATATTGGGGCTTATGGACTCTTTATGTGACTGGTGCTGGCCTTTAAACACCTTTTTTGGGACATCAGGAAGATTGGGACACTGCCAGGCGTGTCCCCAGACCTGATGAGGGACAAATTTGCCCCAAACGGTGTCCCCTGTGTCCCCAGACCTGGTGCAAACCCTTTGTGCCTGCCTTGCTATTTCCCACTTGGTTCAGTAAATGGGAAATTATTTCAGCTGCAGAGACTAAGTCCCATTCGGCGATGGGACTTAGTCTTTTTTTCAGCCGTTTTTTCCAGCCTTATTTCAGCTGCAGAGACTAAGTCCCATTCGCGATGGGACTTAGTCGTTTTTTCAGCCTGAAATAGACCGACCTCACAGCCCAAATCTATGGAACTGTTTTGGGCAGGAAAATGTGCTTGCGGTCGGTCATAAAGGGACCTCCAGCTAACTTTTTAACCCCTGGATGAATTTGGCTGATTTTTGGTTATGTTTATGTTTTAAGTGTGCTGATTCCAAATATGTAATTATGAAGATGGAATGTGTAGTTTTAAAGTTACAGGGTATGGCTAAAAACTGTATTTTTACTGCCTGTGTTTAATTATGTTAATCTCTTCCCAAACGTCATTTCATTCAAAGTGGAGAGAATGTTAAAAAAATATATTTTTGTTCGGAGTGTGAGAAATGCTTTTCAGCCGCTTCTAATCTTAAGCATCATTTGAGGAGCCATACAGGAGAGAAACCTTATTTGTGGTGTGTTTGGTATTGTTCTGATCAGTTTTAATACCTTCCGCGTCTCCTATCAGTGGACGTGTATATGGCAGCCATTTTAGGAACCGTACACCTGGGACCCGAGCAAGGTCACCTCGTTCAACAGGCTTGCAGCATATACTCCAG